TAATCTCTTAAAGATTGTATTAAGTATGACATATTAATATCATGATTAAATGTTATGATTAAAAGTTGAAGTATGACTTGAGTTTATTTTCACTTTCAAGTTAATTAAGTGAAAATTTAATATAAGCCAATATTTAAAATTTGGGAGATATGATGTATGATGAATTAAGTATTTGATTGAGTAAAAGATTAAGATGAGTTTATAAATCATGTTGATGATGTTGGAAAAAATTAAGATGTTTGATGACTTAATATTTATTTGAGACATATTAAGCTTATTGAATATCTTTAAGATTCGGATAAGTATGAGTTAAATCTTATAGAGTATACGAGCATAGTACTTAGTATATTTTTTTATATTTTTATGTAGCTTGCAGATATAGCTACCCAAGAGAAACACTTACATTTTTCAAAAGTTTTCAAAAGAAGAAATGTGGGGACCCAGACTGGGTATTACATTGAGTATAATATTGATATCATGTTCGAGGTATGTATACAGTTTAAGTTTATACGCTTGGGATGAGGAGACATTTAGTTGTCTCAGAGTATATCCTAAGTTCTGATGGAGGCCGTTTGAGTTGCCTTGAGAAATATCCATCAGATTGTGCACAAGTATCCGATCAGATATCGGCCAGATTCAGTTTAAGTTACTGGAACAAATTTTCAGTCCAGATATATACCAAAGATCATGATATTGTATTATTATTGCTGTTTCCTTTAGTATGAGTGTTTTTCGGGGTACAAGAGGATCAGTACTCACCCCCATTGTGTTTTTCAGGTAACAGGGTCGGGACGGAGGTGTGAGCTGAGCAGTGGTGGTGGTGGTCGTGCACTTATTTCAAGTGGACATTTATTAAGTATTTGATCTGTCTGTATAATAAAACCACGTTTTTAAGTATTTCCGCTATGCACATTAAGTATTGAACTTGCATTTCAGATTTCAAGTTTTTACCATTTCGAGAAGTATGAATATGGTACAGTTAAATGCAAGTTTAAAGGAAATATGTTTTCTTTATGTCTAAAGAAGTGTTAGACAAAAGTTTAAAGATAAATAGATTTTCAAGAAGATGAGTTTGAGTAGCATCCCGAGTTAGTCGCAAAAGATTTCGAAAGATTTATAAGTATTTTCGAAGTAAAAGTTGCGAAAAATTTACTCTGATGAGCGGGGTGTTACACCTTATATATACAAGAAGCTCGACAGACATCATTTTTTGGAGCTGCTTACAACAAATGGTATTGGAAGTGAAAGTGAAGCCAGTGAAAACAAGCTTGTATGGTTTTAGTGGGAGCGAGGTCCGACCTATGGGAGAGGTCAGTTTAACAGTGGCACTGGGAAGGGCTCCGATGAAGAAAGTGAAAATGGTTAGGTTTTTGGTGGTTGATGCGAGCTCAACTTACAACATCATTTCGAGACGGCCCAGTTTAAACTCTTTCCAGGCAGTCGTGTGTACATGGTGTATGAAGGTAAAGTTCCCTGTGGGATACGAGGTTGGAGAAGTTATGGGGGATTAGCTGCAATCTCGACACTGCTATGAGGTAACGTTGAAGGCAGCAGAGGCGCAGAACAAAAGGCAAAAGAAGGGGACTACCCATAGTCATCGCACCAAGACAGGAGACAGGAGTTGGGGGTGAGCTCTCAGAACGAGCTGATGGAAATCGACTTGATTGAAGGGATGTTGGACAAAACCACCAAGGTAGGTCGTCATATGGAGGATGGCGTGACAAAGGCCTTGATACTACCCGTTACGGTAGTTCATTGATGTGTTTGCTTTCTCAGCAGACGACCTCGACGGTATAAAACCAGAGATAGCGGAGCATCGGTTGAACATAGACCCAACGGTACAGCCGTTATAGCAAAAGAGGCGGCACTTCGCGCCGAGTTGGATGAGATAATAGAGGCTGAGGTGCAGAAATTGCTGAAAGCGGGCACATACAACCTATCCAATTAAAATGGGCCCAAATCAAACTATTTTCCATGGCCCAAATACGTGTTTGTACGAGATTGTAGGTGGGCTGCGGGAATGGGCTCCAAGGTAATTAAATAATTCATGGCACTTTTGGGCCTAATCATTCTTTTCATGCCGAAATTCAAGTACCCAACTTTACGGATTCTATGCATTGACATCTTGAATATTCTTCAAATTGCTGAAAAGAGGTTATAAAAATATCAAAGTACATAAATTCTTCCACATAATAAATAAGTCAAAAAATATAGATGTGTGGAAAAATTAAACATATAAAAATACATTATTAAATGTATAAAATATGCACATTTTTCGACCTATTAGAAGAACCCACTTTGCTCGAAAAATCTCTTGATATACTTTAAATTACCCTCCTTTGACTCTCGCAAGATTGGAGCTCTCCAATCTATGTCCTCTTGTATTTCAGATATATCGACCGCTCTCTTCTCCATGTGCAGTAAGGTAACATTCCTACTTTTGCAATCCACAAGGTTTTGTGCTATTTTGTACAACAAGTCAGCTCGACCATCTTCCCCTCTTGGTATCCGAATTAGCTCGAATGAGCTAACCTCCTACAATGTCCTAACCTCGTCCACATACTTCTAAGTCGATTATCCCTAACCTCGAAGTCTCCTTGAAATTGGCCTACAACCAATTGAGAATCAGAATGCACTTACATCTCTCTAGCTCCCCCTGCCAATGCCAACTGCAAGCCTTTCCGAAAATCCTCATACTCTGCTTCATTGTTCAACACTTTAAACCTCAATTTAGTTGCAAACTCTGAGTTATCATCCTTAGGCGTAATCAGTACAATCTTCAAGCCAGCTCCTCCCTTGGAGACCGATCCATCTACGAATATCTACTACTTTTCAGCCCCTTCGACCCATACTTATTCCTTCCTGAATGAAGTCTGCCAAAACTATGTCTTGATATCCCTTCGAGGTTCATACACCATCAAGTACTCACTTAACTCTATTGCCCATTTGACCATTCGACTTGAGACCGCAGGTCAACTCAAGGCTTTTCCCAGTGGCATGTTTGTGCTGATGTTGGTGTTGTAGCACATTGGTCAGCCAAAATGTAGCAGCAAGCCATCTCATCTGCCTTGATCACCTTTGAAATGCCTCTTTCTCATGATTAGGGGCATCATCAGCTGGGACATCGAGACAAATCTAAGTGAGCATGGATTTGTATCCTTCTGCTGTCAGCACTATGCCTAAGTTCTTCCTCCAAACAGTGTAACTAGGACTAGTAAGTTTGTTTTTCTTTTAGAATGATATGTTGAATATAAGCTGAGAATCATGAAAAATTTTACTGATTAAACAATTGAATATAACTTGTTAATATTGATATCCTCAAAGCAACATTAACTTAATTTCACCGATACCTCAAAACACCGAGAGTTCACGCATATCACCTTGGTGACTCTACTTTTGCTCAACATTTGTGAGAGGATGGTGTTTCAAATACCCATTAAATTTTATAAACGAAAACTCAATTCATGGCGAATAAAATTAATAGTCGGTTTTCTTTTGGCCACATAATAAAAGTCCATCGACTCCGTTGGGGAGGAGTTCTTTTCTTACGTTCTAAGTAAAAATTTTACCTAATCATAAGGAAATTGCCACATGCTCAATAATAATTCCTATGATTATCTTTCAAAATTTGTTCTAGTGATCTTACAGTTAATTTGAACAACGTCCGCCGTTGGGAGATCCATGTCGCAATTAATTGCATCACCACAAATTGGTAATGGAGGCCTTAGGAATGTTTTAAAATTCACTTTTCGTTTTAAAATTCCTTCTCAGCTTAGTAATTTAAATGCAGATTGTTAATTTTGCAATTTCTAATTAATCACATACATAAAAGTTATTACTTAGCATGCAAAATATGGACATAATAAACACATGGTAATTAAATCCCTTTATGAAAAAATCAGATTTAAATCTACTGACTATTCTAATCCATATAGAACTGCCACGGCAGCAGAACCTTTGTCCAAGATTGTCACCTTGTCCATCAAGTCTTCACTTTGCAATCGCTGGGGAGCCGCCACTGTCAGCCGGTCGCCGCAGTGAAACTTGCTGGAATTTTTTTTCTCTCAGTCGTTACGCGTCGCGTCCTTGGTTCGCCTGAGCCGCGATCTGAGTCTCTGGGTCGATCCTGCACACAGCTCCGCTCCTACGCGTAAGGCGCAGCTAGTGGTGGCGTCGCAGTCGGCTAATAACCGCTGCAACAAACACACGACGGGAGGTCGCGTCCTGCACGGGTCTGCATTAGGAAGTTGACACTGGCCTGGTCTCTATCGCGCCAAGCACGACGACCCGCAGTGCCTCCTCCCTGCTCCTGAGCGCATTTTCCAGTCGCCACAGACCCGCGAGAATCTCACGCACGGGTCGTTGCGAGTACTGCGCCTGGGCATCCCTCGGCAGTGAGCTGTAGGGCGCCCCGCGCACGCTCGCGATCCCGTTTTTGCATTCTCAGGTTCTCAGTTCCGATCGAATTGTCGAGTCTCCAATGGGTCTTGATCTCCCAGTTGATCCGCACACGATCTCGATAAAAAAAATAAAATCGAAAAATTACAATTTTGATCCTAGATCCATAGGTGAGTTTACATGTTTGTCTAATAAAGCGAATAAATCTATCCGGTGTCCCACCATATGAATAGTTATTACAAACATTCAACCATCATCCTCGACATGCTTGAGGCTTTAAAGACCAAAACCACACAATTAAAATAAATCGTACCACATCAAGCACATAAAAACGCATATACCATAAGAGTGGATTATACTACTCCTGCAAAACCTAGTTATGCACACATATATACATATAATCCAATTTATGGCTGCAGTTGAACATAAATTATTCACGTTAGCCTTAAAAATTTAAACTTTGCGCAAAAATGCATTAAATGTGGGCTCTGATACCACTTGTTGGGATCTATAAGGATCGTCGCTAATGTGTATGTTACAAATTTAACTACGAAAATATTTATGCGCAACGGATCTATAGGTAAAAGTAGAAGACTCACGGTTTAATAAAGTGCCGACTCTGAGACGTTTTGGATTTCCTTTGAAGGAGATTGCCTGATCACAAAATCAGTTGGACAGTCGAATGGGCCTACACGGTTGTCGCGTGTCGTGTGTATGTGCGGGCGGGATCGTGATCAGGGCACTGAGAAGTTGGTCGGGACTGGCTTCGGTCGAACAGGTCGCAGGGTTCTTGCGCGTCGCGGCGTCGCTCGACTGAAACGCGTTGCTAGCGGGCGCAAGAAATCCGCGGGTCTGCACGGCGTCACGGGAACCAGCAGCGGGTCGTGTCCGGGGCTCGCGATGGTGCACGGCGTTCTGGTGCTCAACTACTTAAGGATCTTCTATTGGATTACCTAACACATCTACACTCCTTTGATGGAAAGGAGAATCTAGATATCTATATGTGTGCTACGTCTTAGAAAAAAAGGTATATTTATAGACATTAAATTGAGCTTTTCCTATTAGAACTTAACTATATGCCAAGCCTAATAGGAATAATACAGTCATTTCACTAAAGTAGTATTATTGAAATACTCCCAATTTAATTCTCATTTAAACTCCATTTTCTAATATACTCTCCATTTTCTAATATACTCGATTTATCTCCACATGTCTAATATATAATGTGTTTCAATTTATTCCAAACCCAAGCATTTCTCAGTTTTGTACTCATAGTACAAAACGCATTCTACCGGGAGAGAAGGTTTATAATAGGTAAATAAGTGTGAAACCTCCTGATTATGTTATATCTTAACAAAACAAAAGATTTAGTTCCAACAATGTACAAACTATATTTTTGTTCTGGAAGGAAGGAACATAGAAAGATAATACGAAGACATTAATACAGAGAGAATAAGCTTCAAGTTACAAGGAGTTGACATATTGCCACACTCTACACAAATTCCCAAAACCATGACTGCAATAGAAGAAAACATTGAACAAGAAGATGCCCAACAACGACACACATATCATCTATATTCTATATACATCACAAGCGCACATCTCCAATCCTTCTTCTTCCGCATCAACTTCTTCCCCCTCTTATCTACCCGACCCGCTTACTGCAATAATAAGCCATACAACAAGAACAATAAAAATAAGTTAAGTTGAACTCTCATTAAAATAGCAAGCAAAAGACAAAAAAGGTGGAGAAAGAAAGAGAGACTGACAGTAAGACCCTTTGGCCGCAGAATCCTGAGCCGTCTGGACCCCTCCGCTCATCCCCAGCCACGACCCCACCGCATCCTTCACCCTCTCCACCACTCCCTCCCCGGAGCTCTCTGCCCCAGCCGTCACTGCATCCTCCCCTTCCCTCTTCCCTCCAATTGGGCCCAGACGCTCAGTCACCTCCGCAGACTGCCTCACCCTACTCTCTTTCTCTTCCTCCTTTTTCCCTGAAAGTGCCCCTGTCACCACCTCAGATAGGGCCCTGTCCTCCTCCCCTGGCCTCAGTGTCTCTGCCACCTTCTCCGCATACTCCGATACCACCTCCGATATCGACTGCCCCCCACCCACTTGGCTTTGTTGTGGTGGTGTCAATTGGTGGTCGTGGGTCCCACTCTTTCCCGATTCCCCTTTACCACCTGAGAACACTACTCGGTACGAATTTTATTAGGTAGTACTAGTGTGTTTGAATCTTAAAAGACTATATAATATATAATGAGGTGCTACACTGAATTCTATGATATACGGTTAAAATTCATAAATCATTTATTTCCACAATTCCAATTTTGCTGGATTTATTAATCTATGATATACGGTTAAAATTCATATGGATTAATGGCAATTATGTGTTACCAGCACCTGTCGGGTGTGTGACTTGGGATTGATAGTTAGATGCAAGTATATCGTGTATTGTGGAGTGACGATCCTCCTTTAAGTCCATTTGAGACCCAACTTTCATCTTTGATTCCTCATGAGTATCATGTTTGCTGGGCTTCTCATCTTCCTTGACAAATGGGCCTATTGGTTCGGGTGCCATTGGGCTTAGCCCGACAGGTCGACCTTCATTGGTGACATTTTGTGTGCCTGTCTTAGTTGGGACATCACTGCTCCTAGCAACACTAGTTTCATGCACTGCAGCAAAAGCAAATGATTGAATTGTAAAGTTATTGGACAACCATTGCATTTAATTAAGGAAGAGTCATCTATCTTATGACGATTAGTATTATATCATAGTTGAGTTAAGGGAGGAGAAGAATTAATACCATGGAGTTGAGGATGATTGGCAACATCATCATCTTCATGTTGATGGGAATGGCCATGCTTGGTAATTTTATCCTTGATTTTCTTGGCCTTATCCTTCACCTTTTTAAGCACCGACTTGTGCTCCCTCCTTTGCTCACCTTCACCATCTAACAACAATTCACAATTACAAACACTAAATATGAGATCCATTCTCTATATATTATATTAATCACACACACACATATGTATATGTAATTGTGAAATAACAAACCAAAAGCGTGATGTGGATCTTGTTCATGACGATGATGATTCAAAGGCCGCTGCATTTGTGATTCCATTTTTGTTCAGANAAAAAAAAAAAAAAAAGAAAACGCTTCCTTCTGTTTTTGTTTTTCTTCTCTTCTTTTAAGAGCGTTTGACGTATATCAGAAACTGATTTTGTGTGGATAGAAACGCCGGAGGTTAAGTAGAGAGGACGATGAGCGTGGGTTCGAAATTTAAGGTATTGCACGGTTTGCATGGGATGGGACACGTAGGCTATTCCGTTGCGTTACACGTATTACGCAGAAGTCAAAGTCTCCCATCTCTTGACACGTGTAGGCAGGCGACGGAATTTTTCTTTCTTTCCATCCATCCAAGAAAACTGCAATTAAAATATTTTTTTTTTAAAATGATATATATATTCATCTCATTATAATTTTTTTTAGTAATCATACCAATCCAACTACAAGAAATTATATTATATATTTTCATAAATTCATTTTACCATACATTTTATATTACGAATATTATCAATCCATATTTTTTTATTTTTATGCCACATTAATTTAGTGATTACATTTTTATCTCACATTAATTTACGATGTCATAATTAACTCAGTTTTTCTAAAAGCAACTTTTCCACTATGTCATCACAGTTTATTTAACAAGGCAAAACTTTTTTGATTTTTTCAAAATCAAATCTTTCAAGATATTATTCTCAATTATTTTTAGTAAAACGTACGCGGTATCAAGCTAGAGAAAAATAGAGAGAATAGGTATAATGTATTCTCTTGTTATACACAAATAGAAAAAACACATGTCATAACTTATAAATATAGTTCTGAAAACCGAACCGGTCATCAAATCGATGAAGCTACCGATTCAATAGTTCACTGATCAGATCAGTGCTCGGACCGGTCGAACTGGTTTAATGAATATATATTTTTTAAATTTATTTTATATGTCTAATAAATAATTATATATATTTTTGTCATTAATTTTATAGTGTGACATTTTACTAAATAAGAGTTAAAATAATAGATACAACAACATTGTTGATGAATGTTGATAATTTTTTTAATTTTATTTTTTTATATTTAAAATTTTAATCCATATTGAAGTTACAAAATAAAGAGAATATAAACAACTCTATTTTAATATTTAAATTATTTTTTAAGTTCATTATTATTGATTAACAAAAAAAGAAAATAAAAATAAAAATTATGTGCATAACAAATAACAATAAATTATTTCTTTCTTCTTTTATAAATTGGGAATAAATTTAACCCAATAGATTGCCCAATACAAAAAATAGTACATTTTCTTTTAATGAGTACAATTTTGCTTGGAAGCCCAATATTGGCCCGATAAACCAACAAGGGTCTTCACTTGTGAAAATATCCCACGTTGGAAACACAAATAAAAAAGGGAAATTTTCAAGCTTCCTACGTGATATTCAAATAATATCAAATTTGTCATTAAGAAACAAATATTTGGGAAGATACTTGATTGACCAAATATATTTACGTGAATACCTAATATTCAGTTACATGGTAACTTCATCCATTCCATATCTGTTTGACGTGAATTGCGGGATGGTAACTGCCAAAAAATACACAACTATTCAAACAACAATCTCGTCAAACGTTCCCATCGGATTTTCCGTGATTTTACGAGCTCACGATCAAAAATCGATGGACATAAACTGAAAGTGGATCGGTGCGATTTTTCAACCAAACTCGATCCACGTATATCGAGCGTGGATCGACCAAAAATCACAGCACATATACTGAGAGTGTGTCGATCGAAAAACTCATCAGAAAGCGCTGCACGTATACTGAGTTGCTGCACGTATACAGACAGTTCGGTTCTAGCAGATTTTTCATCAAAAAATCGCTGCACATATAGCGAGAGCGGATTTTTCATCCAACGTCGCTGCGCGTATGTTTTTTTTTTTTAACGTATTTTTTTTGATTTTAACGTTTATTGTGCAAGAACGATTTATGGATTTTTTTTTTCTTTGTAGATGGATTCGAGCATGATGATTTTCATACATCATGGTGGTGAGTGGATCATGAACGAGTACGTGAACTTCCGGCTTTCAGGTGTTTTGATACGAAAAGATTGCACATTCGAAGAATTATGTGGTGTATTGTGTGCTGAGTTCGGGGTGAGGTCCCAATCATCGGTCATTGAACTAAAATATAAGCTGAAGGTGGATTGCCCACCAATGTCCATAAAAGACGACAAAAGCATGAGCTTTTATTTTTTCTTGAGGTCTACAGAAGCTGACTACACGAAGTACCCGATATGCTTGGATGTTAAGGCTCATAGTATTGCTGAAAATTCGTCGCAGATTGAATTAAATACGAATTCTATGAATACCGAGACAAATGTTGCACCATTGAGTTACCCGGGGCTTGACAGGTACCCTGATATCCCAGATGGCTCGATAAATTTCATGTCTTTCGCGAGTAATGTGGCTGAGGATATGGTACAAGTTGCAGCAGATACCGAGAATATGCTTAACACAAACCCTGATAGTGGTATGGGGGTGACAATCGGACAAAATGTTGTCTCTCGAATTGTTGCGGGTCGTTTGATAAAGGATAAAAAAGAGTTGCAGAAATTGTTGACAATGGATGCTATAAAGCATCAGTATCAATTCAAGGTGGAGAAGTCTTGTTCCCGGCAGTACTATGTAAGGTGTGTCTCATTTTTTAAAACGTTTACTGTGGCGTTCCTTTTTCTCAGGCGTGTTCTATTGTTAATTTTTATTTAGTATATTCCAGTGATATTTAGTTACATATTCTGGTATATATACTGTGGCGTTTTTTCAAATTGTTTCAGTGAGATTTTGAACAGCGTATATAATATGGTATATATAAGGTAAAAATACTTTGGTTTATTGTTTTGTTTTTTGTTGAGGTAGAACTGATGTTTGCTCGTGGTATATGTATGGTATGTTTAATTTTGAACCGGGTATATTTAAAGTATACATTTGTTCTGGTTTTATATTTACTGTATATATGCGTTGTAATTTATCAGAGAGTATATAATTGGTATATGTAATGTAAATTATAAATTTTTCTGGGGATTTTTCTGTGATATATAAGTATATATTCTGGTATATATACTTTGTCGGCAACTATTATGTCATTCATCTTACATATATAGATATATATATATTTACAATTACATGCAATAAACAATCCTCTCTTGTTTGTATAGGTGTGTATCGAGTGATTGTTCCTGGTTTGTGAAAGCATCACGACTCGGTACATCAAACACGTTTAAGATAAGGGGCGTCGGGACGGAACATAATTGTGCGTTGGATGTTCGAACAAGTAACCAGAGACAGGCGACCTCAACCGTTGTTAGTGATTTTATCAAGTTCAAATTCGCGAACACGAAGACTGCATATAATCCCCTTGATATCATTGACGACATGCAAAGTCAATATGGGATAAACTTGACGTACCAAAAAGCGTGGAGGTCAAAACGGAAAGCTATTGATGACGTACGTGGCAAAGTTGATGAATCGTACAATTACGTTCATCAATATCTTTTGAAGGTACGTGAATCAAACCCGGGTAGCATTTTTAAGGTGAGCACCACTTTGGATCAGAATTTCTTGTACGTCTTCATGTCACTCGGGGCATCTGTTAAAGGATGGCCCCATTGTCGGCCAATTGTTATTGTTGATGGTACATTTTTGACTTCGGCGTACGGAGGACTTTTGTTAACAGCATGTTGTCAAGATGCAAATTCGCACATTTTACCGCTTGCATTTAGCATTGTTGACTCTGAAAATAACCACTCCTACGTGTGGTTTTTCACAAAATTGAGAGCTGTTGTTGGTGAGCGGGATGGTCTTTGCATTGTTTCAGATGGTCACGAAAGCATAAAACACGCCGTAGAACAGGTGATGGTATATTTCAGTTGTATTTCGTTATATATTCTGGTACATATACTGTTTCATTTGTCAGTGAGTTTTTAGTGATATTCTGATAGTCAGTATATTTTAGATATATTTAGTTATATATTCTTGTATGTATACTCTGTAATTGTTTGAAGGAATTTGCAGACATATACTGATAGTATATTTCATTGAAATTTGGTTATATATCATGTTATATATACTGTGTCATTTTTTGAGGAATTTATTTAGTTGTATATTCTAATATATATACTATTTAATTTGTTCATGACTTTGTTGTTCCGTGGGTATATATATATATATATATATATATACACATATATATGTATATATTTACTAATACATACAATAAACAATCATCTCTTATTTATATAGGTATTCCCTAATGCGGCGCATTGTCTTTGCACATATCACATCTCAAATAATTTGAAGATGCATTATAAGACGGAGTCACAAGCCGTGAAAGAGGAATTTTATGCAGCAGCAAGGGCATATACCACAGAGGAGTTCGATGTGCATATGTCTCAAATAATGAAGTTGAATTCAAGTGTCGTAACACATCTTGAAAAAATTGGCTTTCACAAATGGGCAAGAGTTCACTGTCCCAATAATAGATACTTTACGATGACATCTAATGCCGCTGAATCAATAAATGCTGCAATCCGAACCGTTCGTGACCTACCGATAACAACACTGCTAGAGGCGCTAAGGGACATGCAACAGAGATGGAATGTGGCTAATCGAGATGAAGCCAAGGGCACTTTTACTCCACTTGCAAAGAAGCCACATAGTTTGTTGGAGACTAATTACAAAATAGCTGCAAGATATTCAGTAAGAATTTTTTTATTTTTTTTCGTTGTTTCTTTTTTTTTTTGTTGGGTGCTTATTACCTGATATAAACTCAAAAATACTTTACATATACTACTTTGTGTAACAGGTTCAGAAAGCTAGTGAGAAAGTGTATAAAGTGATATCTGACGGCAAGGCATTTATAGTAGACATAGAGTCTAAGTCCTGCACATGCCACCGCTTTCAAGTTGATGAGCTGCCCTGCCCGCACGCTATACGTGTTATAAGGTCACTCCACATGGATCCGGTCCCATTCTGTTCCTTGTACTACCTAAACTCTACCATGTTGGCAACTTACGAAGATGCTGTTATACCA